CATCCTGGGAAAACTTGCTTTGGAAGCTTCCCTTGTGTTCATCTCTGAGACCCTTCAAATTACTCTCCTACTAGTGGCCGCACCTCTTGCGCACCACAATGAAGGACTCAACATCAAGGTAACCGCAAACAAACAGGGCGTGTTCTGGGCGCTCGAATTAGAGTGGGAAGGGCAGCAGAATTGCCAAGGCCTGCTTCAAGCATGCGTGGCTTGTCCTGCAGAATCCCGGAAGACGAAAGGGTCGGGCTTTGACCATCCCAGACGGCCCAGATTGAATATCTTGGCCCCCAGGGGGCCACGGATTTGGCACCTCTTCTGAGGAGGCTTGTTGAGGACCTGCTGGGCCTGGGCTCTGAGGCCAGGGATGGTGAAGCCCGCGGTTCCAGGCAGATGAGCCACTCTCCAGACCAAACTGGCCCAACAGCATGCCGGCCCCAAAGCGAGGCTCCACGTAGGATCCCCCCCAAACAAACAGCGCTGCAAGCTCGGAAACAGTTCTCCTTAGACAAACGAAACTTCCGTCGCCCAAGCCCGTCCGCCTCAGCGGACATGTGGTCCCTTCTCCTCCTCCTCCTCCTCCTCGTCCTCCTCCTCCTCCTCCTCCTCCTCCTCCTCCTCCTCCTCCTCCTCCTCCTCCTCCTCCTCCTCCTCCTCCTCCTCCTCCTCCCCCCCCCTCCCTTCCTCCCTCCTCCTCCTCCTCCTCCCTCCTCCTCCTCCTCCTCCTCCTCCTTCCTCCTCCTCCTCCTCCTCCTCCTCCTCCTCCTCCTTCTCCTCCTCCCATCAAATTCAAAACAGGCTCGCGCCGGGGCGGGGGGGGCCTGGGGCGACCCACCCCTTTCCATATGATTTCGTTGATGTAGAATGGTCGGAGCCTGGTTTGGGCGATCCTGCTTCGGACGTCCTGAAGATTTGCCTGGCTTGGGCTCTGGTTTGGGTTCTGGTTTGGCTCGGCTGGGCGGCGCAAGCCGCCCGAGACATTCTCCGAAGCTGCTTGGTTTGGCCCCTGGTTTGGGCACGGTTTCGCCTGAGGCGTCCTCACAATTTCCTTGGTTTTGCCTGGTTTGGGCCTGTTTTCGCCTGAGACGTCCTCGATTTTTACCGGGTTTCGCCCTGGTTCGGCCTGGTTTGGGGCCGGTTTCGCCTGAAACGTCCTTGCAATTTGCTTGGTTTCGCCTTAGGCGTCCTCGCAATTTGCTTGGTTTCGCCCGGGTTTCGCCTGGTCTGGAGCTGTTTTTGCCTGAGACGTCCTCGCAATTTGCCTGGCTTCGCCTGGGAGGAGGGAAGGAGGGAGGGCCTCAATCAGGGAGGAGGGAAGGAGGAAGGAGGAGGGAGGGCTTTGCCTGGGAGGAGGGAAGGGAAACCGGGCCTTAATCAGGCTCTCCTCGCCAGGAAAAGAAGGGCACACCTCCCTTCGCCCGGCACGGGGGGGAGAACGTAACAGAAGAGCAACTTCCAGGCCAGGCGGAGGAGGCGCTCGCACCGCCACAAGGTGCGCTCTGCCCCCACCCTCTCCCTGCCCTCTCACCGGCTCTCCCTCCGTCCCGTCGATACCCCTCCGCGCTCGTGCAGGCTCAGGGAGGCGCCTCCAGCCGCCTGACCTTCAGGCTCAGCTGCGCGTTCTGCTCCTGAGGGGCGGGCAGCGCCGCAGGGATCTCGAGGGCCGCGCCCCCCGCCGATGGGCCGAGGAAGGGGAAGTCGAGCCGCAATTCCTTGGGCATCTTCGCAGCTTTTGAGCCAGACTGAGGGGCTACGTTAGCCCTGGTTTGGCCGGGCGTTCATCCATGCTCAACCAGACTGAGAGGCAGGACTCAGCTGGGTTGTGCGGAATTGACACCATGGCCGATCAACGATTCACCCAATGAGATGCAAACTGAGGGAGGGGATGGGGCATGGCCCGAAGCGTTTCCTCCTGCGCTAGCAGATCACCAAGCGAATGCGAAAGGTCTACGTGAACAAGACTTCGACCTTCACGCGCATACGCCTGTGAATCAGGCTCGTAAGAGCCGAAATTCACGATCTGGTGGAGTTGCATTCACGTCCGAGGTCCTTGTCGGAATATGTACGTCCAGGAAGGGCCTGGGGGGCGATTTCGGGGGAGGGGCAGACGCCCCTGGGAGCGACCCCCCCCCAGGCCGCCAAAACGGTAGTTCGCTTTCGGAGTAGGTGGAGGAGGACGAAGGGCAGCTGGAGGGGGAGGGGACCGACTCGTAAGGGGAAGGCAGGGGGAGGATGACCTGGAGGTGAACCAGCCGCAGAAAGAGATGGTTGGACCGCTTTGCCGCTGCACTGCTCCGCCGCGACTCTTCGTATTGTAGTCTTACTCATGGCGGCCAGCCTCTCCCTCGCGAGCCACGCCTTCCTGATCTTCACGCTCATTATCATCTCGATCATCTTCTTCTATATACAGAAACTCCCGATCAACCGCAGAGCGGCCCGCTAGTACTGTAGTCTCACTCCTGGCGGCCAGCCAGGCAGCCGACGAGCACGGCACTTCAGACGAGCTCAGCGCAGCTGAGCGGACGTGCTGAACTGGCCTTGCCCCCCGGCGGGAGCCAAGAGGTCAGCCCCTCGGGCGCCAACCAAAAAGTCGCACAACGCCGAGGGCATCCACATCGAGACATACATTATCGCTCTGCGGGTGCCAACCACCGATGTTTCGACTCCAGTGAGATTTAGCCGAGCGCGGACACTTCGGCGTCTCAAAACACTCCGAATTGAGACACCGCACACCCCCGCCCTTGGACCGCAGAAACATGCACAGGGCACTGCTGTCAGAGCAAGTCAGCGCCGCGCACTTGCGGCCAAGCTCCGTCATCCTTGCGCCGTGGAGCTCGTCGTGCGTCTGCCTGCAAGCGCTGCCCGGGGGGGGGCCAAACAGACCAGGCCGCCTCCAAGCACTGCTTGCGCTGCCAACCGGTGCTCCTCCAGGCCCAGGAGCAGCGAGCCGTAGGCACGGGGACACCTGGCTCCACACGGATGAGAGGCACCGTCGGAGGAGGAGGCGCACGACCGATGCTGCCGCAGGTCCGCGCCTCGACGACTTCCGCACGGGCCCTGCGACTCTGCGCGGGTCGCCCCGCCCTGAACGATCGGCGACCTCCGACAATCTCAGCGGGGATCCGCTCGAGATCGGACGGCTCGGGTAAAGGCCTCCCAGATTGGGTCCGAGTAGAGGTGGGGCCGGAAGATTGCACTGAATCGCCGGTGCATCGCCGATGCATCGGCGATGCTTCGGCAACGTCGCCGATGCATCGGCGATCGCCGGGATGGAGAACATCGGGCTCCACATCGCGCCGCATCGCCGATGCGTCGGCGATGCATCGGCGATGCAGCGGGGTCCTCCGACCCCATCTGCTTGGACCCCACCTGGGAGGCGTGGATCGGGATCATCGGTTTAGGTCGGGCATGTCCCCCTACAGGCGGAAATTTTGAACGAGAAATCAAAAAAAACACCCAAAAAATAACTATGTTAAATAATCTTCGGCAAATCGTCCCCAGACTAGCCTTTGACTCTTTGCGAACACTCCTCCTGCAGAAGGGGCACGCCCGACGTGCTCACAGGTGGCGCTCCACCTCGAGCGCCCGGGCGGTGGTCGCCGCCACGCCGACCGCGACGCGAGCCTGCCGCACGCGAGGGTGCAGAGGGGGCCGGGAGGCCATGCTGAAGGGGCCCTGGGGCACTAGGGGGAAAACAAACCTACCTCGCTTTTGACCACCCTCGCTTCCAAGAGATACCAAACGATGCCAAACTACGGCCTGTACTGGTCAGGCCGCTCGACGAGGAGGCGCGTGGTATGACGTGGTTTTGCCTGGAAGCGAAAGCGGGGTGGGCAATTCACGCTCTGAAAGTAAAAGGATCCCCCATATTTTCTAATGTTTTCTGGGTTTCTGTCTTCCCCACCACCGCCCATGTTTTCCCATATCCTCCGGGGACTCGGCGATGAATGGTATCTGCGCGTTTTTCCTCCTCCTGACATGTCCACCCATGACAGCCCATGGGCTGCGGGAGGCCATGCTGAAGGGGCCCCGGGACACACAAATTTGACGGCCCAACGGGCCAGAGGCGTGCTAAGATCTCTGGTAGCTAGTTAACAATATTATTTCTAGTTCGCGCGCGCGGGGCGGCCCCTGGGGGGCCCCTGACGAAAAATACCCCGGCCGATCCCCGGCCGGGTCCCGGCTGGGTCCCGGGCGATCCCCAGGGGGGAGGCTATTTTTCGCCACCCCTCACAAGGATCGTGGCCTCCGAGGGGGTGGCTGCAATCGACTATCCCCCCTCCCGCCCCGAGAAGCCCCCAAGAGCTCCCCAAGAGGCCCCAGGGGGGCCCTAGACGCCGCCGAGGAGCCCCAAGACGCTCCCAAGAAGCCCCCAAGAGGCCCCCAAGACGGCCCCAAGGGGCCCCAAATAGCGCTCCAGGGCTGGCGGAAGGAGCGAAGCGATTCCATAAATACATACAAATAACAGGATTCCCTATATGGTTCCATATTTTCTGGGCTCCTGTCTTCCCCACCACTGCCCATATTTTCTGGGAGGAGGAGGACGAGGAGGAGGAGCAGGAGGAGCAGGAGTGGCGAGGGGGAGCGAGGAGGAGCAGGAGCGAGAAGGAGGGGAATCCGGAAGGAGGAGGGGGAGGAGTAGGATTGGAGGAGGAGGAGCGCGTTAAGCAAGCAAGCAAGGGGGATTGTCTTTTCTGGGGAATCGGCGATGAAAGGTGTCTGCGCGTTTTTGCCTCCTCCCGACATGTCCACCCATGACAACCCGCGGGCTGCGGGAGGGCACGCCCGCGGGGCACCGGCTCGGGGGGAGAAAAACGCACCGACGTGGGAGAGGCAACGCGTCGGCGAGAAGTCGGCGACAGGCTCAAGTCGGGAGTGTCCCCCTAGAGGGGGATTTTCGACGAAAAAATAAAAAAGGCCCCAAGAATAATCCCAAATGGTCAATGAATACAAAAAGAAATTATCCCGGCAAAGCAACCTAACAGCGATGTGTAGAAGCATATCTGAAAGCATTCCCCTTAAGATTCAGATGAAAATCCAGTTGTCGAATTCTGCTGTTCTCGCAGTCGTAGTCGCATTCGCGATGACAGTCGCAGCGGCAACGGCAGTCGCAGTCACAGCCTCAGCCTCAGCCTGCCTCCTCCTCCTCCTCCTCTTTTCCTGCTCCTCCTCCTCCTCCTCCTCCTCCTCCTCTTCCTCCTGCTCGTCCTCGTTCTCGTCCTCCTCGTCTTGCTCGTCCTCCTCCTCCTGGTGCTCTCTCCTCCTCCTCCTCCTCCTCCTCCTCCTCCTCCTCCTCCTGGTGGTCCTCGTTCTCCTCCTCCTGGTGCTCTCCCCCCCCCTCCTCCTCCTCGTCCTCCTCCTCCTCCTCCTCCCTCGTCCTCCTCCTCCTCTTCCTCCTCCTCCTCCTCCTCCTCCTCCTCCTCCTGGTAGTCCTCCCCCTCCCCTCCTCCTCCTCCTCCTCCTCCTCCTCTTCCTGGTCGTCCTCGTTCTCGTCCTCCTCGTCTTGCTCGTCCTCCTCCTCCTGGTGTTCTCTCCTCCTCCTCCTCCTCCTCCTCCTCCTCCTCCTCCTCCTCCTCCTCCTCCTGGTGGTCCTCGTTCTCCTCCTCCTGGTACTCTCCCCCCCCCTCCTCCTCCTCCTCCTCGTCCTCGTCCTCCTCCTCCTCCTCCTCCTCTTCCTCTTCCTCCTCCTCCTCCTCCTCCTCCTCCTCCTCCTCCTGTACTCCTCCCCCTCCCCTCCTCCTCCTCCTCCTCTTCCTGGTCGTCCTCCTCCTCCTGGTCGTCCTCCTCCTGCTCTGCCTCGTCGTCCTCCTCCTCCTCCTGTTCGTCCCTCCTCCTCCTCCTGCTCGTCCTTCTTCTCCTGCTCCTCCTGCTCCTCGTCCTGCCCCTGCTGAAAATGTGGCCCAGGAATGGGAGTTCTGGGAAGTCGAAGAGCACGAAGTTGCCTACAGTTGGCTACGGGCATTCAAAATGTGGCCCGGGAATGGAGTTCTGGGAACTCGAAGAGCACGAAGTGGCCTACAGTTGGCTCCGGGCATTCAAAATGTGGCCCGGGAATGGAGTTCTGGGAACTCGAAGAGCACGAAGTGGCCTACAGTTTTGGCTCCGGGCATCCAAATGTGTGGCCCGGGAATGGAATTCTGGGAACTCGAAGAGCACGAAGTGTTGGTGAACTCGAAGAGCAACGAAGAGCACGAATGTGTGACTGGTTGCATCCGGCCCTCCAGAATGTGGCCCGGGAATGGAGTTCTGGGAACTCGAAGAGCACGATGTGTGTGACTGTTGCATCCGGTTATTCAGAATGAGCCTGGGAATGGAGTTCTGGGAACTCGAAGAGCACGAAGTGTGTGACTGTTGGTGAAAAACGAGCTCGGCACAGGCCCGCCCGGCAACTCCCAACACCTGCCCGGACCCCCCTGTGGAGTGATCTGTGACCTCTTTTGACGCTACTAGAAACCTATCAGTCTTCGCTGTTAGGTAAAAATACTACAGATTTTGTAATAAAGGGAGGGGGGTCTCATTTCGGGTTGGGTCTCTTCCAGGCTGTCTTGGAGGGCCCGGGGGGGTCTGGGGACGATGTTCTGGAGGGTTATCCCACGGGGGGAGGCCTGAAGTGGCTCGTCTTGGAGGGTCCAGACCCCCTCCCTTTGATTACGATATCTGGAGTAATCCCCAGCCTATCGTTGGACTATGTTTGATGATTTCCCCCTGTAGAGGGACAGGCCCGACTTCACGGATGGGCACCCGACCGCGAAGCCGCACGCTCCTGGGCGCGGGCGGGCTCGCGGGCCCACCCGGTGATCAGTGGGCGAACGGGGGGTCGAGGCTGATGGGCTTGTCTTCCACCGCCACCATAAGCTGGAGGGGGAGGGGGTCCTCCTCCTCCTCCTCCTCCTCCTCCTCTCCTCCTCCTCCTCCTCCTCCTCCTCCTCCTCCTCCCTCCTCCTCCTCCTCCTCCTCCTCCTCCCTCTCCTCCTCCTTCCTCCTCCTCCCTCCTCCTCCTCCTCCTCCTCCTCCTCCTCCTCCTCCTCCTCCTCCTCCTCCTCCTCCTCCTCCTCCTCCTCCTCCTCCTCCCCCCATCCAACTCATGGTGGTGGTGGTGGTGGAAGACAGGCCCATCAGATGCATCCCCCCCCCGGGGCCTGTCCCTTGTTGGCTTTCGAATCATAACACGGGCATCTGGCGGCCGCGAGGGACGATCTGGGAACTCCCCGAAAGGCCTCGGCAAGGCGCGCAGCTGCCAGCACGCATCCAGGAAGCAGGGGAACCGCCAGGAGCCGACACGGAACGTCGGAAACAACCTCGAGCCCAGGAGCCCCTTCCGCCCCCCTCGCGTTACCCCTGAACTTCAGGCCCTGCACCTGCGCCCCCCCCCCCCACGTTAGAGGCCTCCTAGATGGGATCGGAGTAGATGGTGTCGGAGGATCGCGCCGCATCGCCGATACATCGGCGATGCATCGCCGATCCGCGATGCATCGGCGATGCATCGGCGATGCATCGGCGATGCACTGGCGATGCATCGTCGACATCGGCGATGCATCGGCGACGTCGGCGTGAAGCAGATCGGGCTGCACATCGAGCCGCGTCGGAGATGCATCGGCGATGCACCGGCGATGCGGCGCGATCCTCCGGCCCCGTTCTCCCACGACCCCATCCAGGGGGGCCTAGAAACCACCCACGGAGACCTCCTCCGCCTCCTCCTCCTCCCTCCTCCTCCTCGTCCTCGTCCTCGTCGTCGTCCTCGTCCTCCTCCTCGTCCTCCTCCTCCTCCTCCTCCTCCTCCTCCTCCTCCTCCTCCTCCTCCTCCTCCTCGTTGCCCCTGACCCACGGGCTCCGCCAGCAGCCCGGCCTGGGCGCCGTCGCCGTGGGCTGCCGAGCCGCCCGCAGAGACCTGCGGACGGGGGCGCGCGGGCGCGGCGCGGCAGGCGGCGCGCGCTCGCTTGCGGCCACCGCCGCTGCCAGAGCGCCGACTCCGCGCTCCTTCTCCTCCTCCTCCTCCTCCTCCTCCTCCTCCTCCTCCCTCCTCCTCCTCCTCCTCCTCCCTCCTCCTCCTCCTCCTCCTCCTCCTCCTCCTCCTCCTCCCCCCCTTTCTCCTCGCCTCCTGCTCCAGGTCCTTCTCCTCCTCCTCCTCCTCCTCCTCCTCCACGCTGCACGGCCCCAGTAGTCACGAGTCACTCGCTTGCTACGCCCCCCCCCCCCCTGCTCCTCTCACGAGCGTGAATTCGGGCATGTCCCTCGACAGGAAGAAGGTCAAATAACAGTCGGCACATACCATGGTGATGATGGTTCGTGCTACGACTGTCATACATAGAGTACGGCTTGACTATGGTTAGCTTTCTTCCGAGATCCGCCTTATAGGAGGACATGCCCGACCCAACACGAGCGGCGATCTGTATCCACGCCCTCGCGGTCAGGATTCGGGGACGCGGTCCCGCGGATACGCAGTAACTTGCATGGATACGCTGCGCGCGGGACATCCGCGGAAAAAAACGCCCCGTATCCGCGGGGTCGCTGCCAGACGCACGGCCCGCGGCAGGCGAGACCGCGGATATGGGTATGTAATCCGTCCACGGTGCTCGCCCGGACCCGGCGCAGGGCGCCCCGAGCGGCGCCGAGGCCCTCAATTCAGACACCTCCGACGACCGCGGCCCCTCTTCCACGACGCGGGCTCCGGGAGCCCTCGATGCCCGCCTCTAGAGGGAGATGAGGAGCAGGAGGATGAGAAGAATAAGGAGGAGGAGGAGGAGGAGGAGAAGGAGGAGGAGGAGGAAAGGGTGGAGGGGGGGCACAGTAGGGCAGCCAGTGCGAGGTTGATGCCAGCGCGTCTGGGCCGAGCTCTGTGGGGCCCGCGGCGGCTCTGCTCGAGGCCGCCTTGGGGGGGGGCCCTCTCGGGGGACGCTCTCGCCTGCCGCCCTCGAGCCTCCCGCCCCCGTGCTCAGTGGCGTGCAATCCCCGTCCCTCCTCCTCCTCCTCCTCCTCCTCCTCCTCCTCCTTTCCTCCTCCTCCTCCCTCCCCCTCCTCCTCCCTCCTCCCCTCCTCCCCTCCTTCCTCCTCCTCTCCTCTTCCTCCTCCCCTCTCCTCCTCTCCTCCTCCTTCCTCCTCCTTCCTCCTCCTCCTCCCCCTCCTTCTCCTCCTCCTCCTCCTGGTTTACCTCCTCCTCCTCCTCCTCCTCCTCCTCTTCCTCCTCCTTCCTCCCCTCCTCACCTCCTCCTCTCCTCCTCCTTCCTCCCTCCTCTTCCTCCTCCTCGCTCTTCCTCCTCCTCCTCCTGCTCATCTCTCCTCATCCTCCCTCCTCCTCCTCCCTCCTCCTCCTCCCTCCTCGCTCCTACCTCCTCCTCCCCTCTCCCCTCCTTCCCCTCCTCCTCCCTCCTCCTCCTCCCTCCTCTCCTCCTCCCTCCTCCTCCGCCTCCTTCCTCCCTCCTCCTCCTCCTCCTCCTCCTACCTCCTCCTCCTCCCCTCCTCCTCCTCCTCCTCCTCCGCCTCCTCCTCCTCCTCCTCCTCCTCCTCCTCCTCCTCATCCTCCTCCTCCTCCTCCTCCTCCTCCTCCTCTCCTCTCTACCTCCTCCTCCTCCTCCTCCTCCTACTCCTTCCTCCTCCTCCTCACTCCTCCTCCCTCTCCTCCTCCTCCTCCTCCTCCTCCTCCTCCTCCTCCTCCTCCTCCTCCTCCCCCCTTCCTCCTCCTCTCCTCCTCCTCCTCCTCCTCCTCCTCCTCCTCCTCCTCCTCCTCCTCCTGCGCCGACGAGCGCCCGATGTTTGCCCGGTGGCTCTGCGGTCCAGCCCGCCCCGAGTGGCACCAGGAGCCGGAGGCGGGCACCAACATCGCGGGGCGGATCCCGTCGTGATGGTCCCCCCCCCCGTTCGGCTGCACGCAGGAGTGGCCCTGCGTAGAAGAACTACCTTTGTGTGGGCGGCGTGAGGGGGGCGCGGGGTGGCCAAGCCCGGGGATGCGGGCCGTGCCCGCCGCTTCGCGCTCAGCGATCGAGCGGCTCCGCCGGGCCCGCACCAAAAATCACTCCGGCGAAAGACGCGCACACGTGCAGACGACCAGCCGAGCCCTCGCCGGCGCGGGAATCCCCCGCCCGCGAGCCCGCTGCCCCGTGGCCAGGCGAACGCGCGCGAGCCCTGCCCCGCAGTGCTGGCCCAGGCCCCGAGAGAGGCGCCATGAACACACGAGCGGGGCCTCTCACGTCTTGGGTCAGGGCTCCGGCGGCGGTGAAACCAGGATCGTTCAGAACGTGCCTCGCATTGCCTAGGCACGCCGCCCCCCTAGGCGAAGAGACAGGACGCCAAGCATCCGCACCTGGCTTCGGTTTGCGCAGCGACCATGCCCCAACGCTCTCGACCAGGCCAACCGGAGAAAACGAATCGCACCAGATTCGGGCACGCCCCTGGGAAGACACTTGGCTGCGGGATAGGGCTTTTAATCTCGAAGGAAGATTAACCAGCCTCGTGCTTATTCCTACCCCTAAGATTAGAAACTGAGGGAGTCGTTAAGATCGGCATCGAACCAAAGCGATGCTAATGATGATGATTTGGATATGTCCCAGGCTGGTAGAAATTGTTTGGAAGAACGGCCCCCGATCGCCGCCAGCGCTTCGAGGCGCCATCGGGCGAAAACATTCGCGTTCTCTACAAGATAACGCGCATCGACACTCGCACGCACCTTTCTATGAACGCGACGGGTCAGTCGGAAACGACAATGCAATTGGGGCAACTATGGAAGAATTGTAGCAATTGCAAGGCAAAGCTTGGATAGTTAGGGGGTGCCGTTCAGGTAAACTTGGCTGGTATGTTATGTCACGCGCCAATGGAAGTCGGGTTGTGGATGTCCGCATTGCCAACGTCTCACAAATTCATCACCGCTGTCGTCGCCATTGCTCCTGGTCAGACATCGGACTGCTGTTACCTAACCCCTAAAATGCATTCGCGGTCGCCGGTTGCGTAGTTTCGCCGCCCCTCCAACAGCCAATGCCCAACTGGGGCGAAGGCAAAGTCAACTGGGGTAGAATGTGTTTAATTTTGCGTAGGTGGTGCAATTGTTGTTTCGTGATGATTTTCACACGTAATGAACTTGGCGTAGCTTGGGAATAACACCAGGGCGCATGCGGGGTAGATGCGCGGCACCGTTGGGCGTCAAAGTGGGGCAGCCACGGCACGCGGCCCGAAGAAATTGTGGCACCTCGTGAGACTTCGGAGGAGGGCGTGAAGAAGAAACCCGAGGATGATGAAGATCAGCGCGGCTCGGGCACTTTCCAGCGGGAGCTGCAGGCTTGCACCGCTGTGCCTTGCAAACCGCCGCCCAGATCAAAAACGCGGCAAGACACCACCGCAGTGTGACTGTCGGTCATGTCAGCTTGTGATTATTAAAAACACGAGGGGCGCGCGGTTAATAAAAACTGCCCCCCTGATCGAGCGAATCGCGGCGTGGGGGCGCCCGCAGAATGGAAACACGCGGCGGCGGCGCCGGTGATTGGCGCCGATGGCCAGCCGCCAGCGAGGAGGGCGAGAGGCGCGGCGCAGGAGGCGCCGCGTCAGCGGAGGAGCACAGGAGCGCCTCCGCTACAGCGGGGCGCTGGGGCCCAGAGGGCTGCACACGACAGCAGGGAACGAGGGCGCGGAGGGAAGAGGCGCCACCGCTGTCGGGCGGCGACGACACGGCTGCAAGCAAGCGCGGGGAACAGGGAGGGATGAGCGACAGGCGCAGGCGGCAGGCGACGACGACGACGACGACTTCGACGACGACGGCGACGACGACGACGGCGACGACAACGACTGTGGCCCGTCATTGATCAGCTTGAGAGAGGAGACATTTGGCCTCGGATGTATACGGTCTGTACTAAAATCACTTGTTTTTAGGCTGCCGTGCAGGGGGGTACACGATTCCGTCGGCGGCGCCCGCGACGACCTCCTGGCGCGCGCGATTGAAACAAATGTTTCGCGCCCCGTGGGATCTATTCATCAGCCCTGGGGGGGGGATCATTCAATAATCACGAGCTGACATTACGCGGGCCACGTGGCCCTCTTTGTCGCATCCCCGTCCGCCGAAAACCTGAGACCGCAAGCTGGAACACGACTGGGGCCGAAGCGGGTAGCTGAGGCCCCAAACGGGGCCTCCACACAGTCTACAGCCTAACGTGCGTCAGGCCTCAAACTGAGCATCTACGTGCCCCGATACGCAGCACGCAACACGTAGCGTGTTGACACGGAACTCAACACGTAGACTGAAAACGCAGGTGCGGCGCGATGCCTTCGCGAGAACGTGAGGGCGAAAACGTGCCGAGCCCACACGCAGCGTGATCACACGGACGTTATAAACACGGCACGCGCTGCGCAAGAGGGGCGCATCGGGGCAAGTCGACAGCCTCTTCTTCTATGCCTATTTGTACATCATGTGTCATGCCAGTGTTCGCAATTGTTGCTTACTGTTCGAATATATGTAGATACGTTTAAAGAATACGTTGCTCATTCAGTTTCCCCAGAGGCCGCAGGCGGACGCGACACACCTCGGGGACGGGCCCCGGCGCGGGCCAGCGCTGGCCTGGGCCCGGCCCGAGGGCCACGACTCGAGCCCGAGCGGGCCGCGGGCACGCAGGCCTGCCAAGGCCTGGCCGGCGGAGGGGAGAGGAGGAGGCGGTCGGCCAGAGGAGGAGAGGATGGGGTCGGCCAGGGACGAGAGGGAGGAGGAGGAGGAGGAGGAGGAGGAGGAGGAGCAGGAGGAGGAGCAGGAGGAGGAGGAGGAGCAATGAGGCGGAGGAGGAGGAGCAATGAGGCGGAGGATAAGGAGGAGGAGAAGGAGGAGGAGGAGGAGGAGGAGGAGGAAGAGGAGGAGAGGGAGGAGAGGAAGTGGGTCACCGAGAGGGGACTCTGGCTGGCCCCAAGTTGGGGCTGATCCCCGCCATCTGCGCCCCGGCGCGAGCGAGGAGCGGGCTCCCACCGAGCCCGCTGGTGAACCCCTACCCGGGCGGCGGGGGAGGGCTGAGATAGGGGTCCTGAGCGAGAGAAACGGGTCGTGGACCCCGGGGCCCTCTCCACAACCTGCTTCTCATCCCGACTGTTTTCAGACCGCCACGGGGCCCGCAGGGCCCAGGGAAAGGCCCCGAGAGGCCGCAAACGGCGAGGAGCCTCTGGACCCCAGCACCCCACCCCGCGACCCTTTTGGGGAAACCAAAAGGTACCGATACCGCTTCTCCCCGGACTTCCCCCGGGGTGCGTTCTGACCAAGATCTCGAGGCGAACCCAGCGGTGGCGACGAGGGCCTCCGCAGGAAGCCCCAGAAAGGGGGAAAAAACGAGCGAGGGGGTAGAGGTAGGGGTACCTTTTCCTCCTCTGGCCCTTACTCTCGAGGGGGAGGGGGAGGAGGAGGAGGAGGAGGAGGAGGAGGAGGAGGAGGAGGAGGAGGAGGAGGAGGAGGAGGAGGAGGAGGACGACGAGGAGGGAGGAGGCCAGGATTCGGCAGGGGCCGCCCTTGGACCCCTCTCGGGGCGCCTTGCGGCCAGGATGCGGCAGGGGACGCCAGGATTCGCGGCGACGGGAGGCCTCGCGGAGGCTCCAACCAGTGGTAGCGAAACTCTGACAGTCATGTCGGGCCTGTCCCCCTACAGGGGGATTTTCTACGAAAAATAACAAATACCCCCCAAATACCCCAAAAAGGTAAGAAAATACTCACAAAATAGTCCCTTGACTATGTTTGGACTATGTTTTGACTACGTTGTGGGTATATTGAATTCTTCCCCGAAAGTCCCCCTGTAGGGGGACAGGCCCGACTGAGCCCTTTTTGCGGCACGTCATTGGCCGTTTTCACTGGCCGCCCGTCGCCCCCCAAAATCCCAACTTCCGCCCGTCCTCAAGACAGTCAGGAGGCGGACCAGCTTCCTCGCCGAACTCAGGAGGCGGCTTCTGCTGCAGGTCTGCGACGCGGACCACTTCTGCCCCTGCTGCGGCGAGCCGTGCGACCGGCACGGGCGACACGCGGGCTTGTGCGCGGGCGCGGGGGATCGGGCTTCCCGGCACACCGCCGCGCGCCGCCTGCTCGGGCGCTTCGCCGCTGCAGCTGGCCGCAACTTGGAGCTGGAGAGGCCAGGGGCTCCTGCCGCCACGCCCGGACGGTGACCGCGCCATCGGGCGCCGCCCCGCTGACGTGTAATGCGGGATGACGAGTAGTAAAAAAATGGGAGAAAACGATTCAAAAAAACATTGTTTTCTGCGATGTCTGCATCATGTTCTGCCTGGAGGATCGAGAACGATTACAAAAAATAGTTGTCCAGCCCGCGGCCGGTTTTTCTAATCGTCATCCCGGGCGCCGCCGCGTGAACACGACCCCCGGCCATTTACTGATCGTCATCCTCCATTGCATCCCGATCGAGTTGGCACCTATAGGCACGCCTGCCGCTTTCGACCTCGCGGCTTCGGCACCGCATCGGCAGGCTGCCCGGGGCCTGGCTGCTTCCCAGGGGGTATTGGGAGCGCCGCCGGGGCTCGTACGAGGTGGTCAGGCGCACCCACCTCGACGCAGAGGCTCTCTGCAGACAACAGGGGCTGCTCTTCATCCCCCTGGTCGCAGGGCCACGGGCTCGCCATCGCTCGGACGTCCATTTCCCGTGCATTTTTGTCGGTTTCGTGCGTGTTTTTGTTTTTCTTGCTCCATGGTCCAGGATCGTTCTCAGTGGTTCTCGCCGAGAAAAACATGCACACGTCCGAGCGATGCCAAGCCCGGCGGTTGGGGCCCGACGGGGGCCGAGACGCTCCGTCTCCTGGCGAGGGCCAGCGACGCGCGCCTGGGCGAGGAGCCAGGCTCTGGGGCGGCGCGCCTGCTCCCGCAGCTGCGGGTGGCCCTCCGGGGGGCCTCCGCCCGCGCCAGCCTCCGGCGGCAGGTGGAGGAGGCCCCTGCTTCGGGAGCAGTCGCGGCGGCCAGGGGTGCTCTGGCTGAGGAGGATGAGGGCTCAGCGTAGGCCGCTCCCTTTCATCCTGCCCCCTCCCCCCTCCTGGCCAGGCTGCCCAGTGGAGCCGGCAATGTTCGTCTTGCGCTGGCGCTGTGGTGTGCTTCTCGGCCCGCCTTCTTTCTTGCGTGTGCTTCTCGGCCCGCCTTCTTTCTTGCCTTGGCCCCGGCCCCCTCTCCTCTCTCCTTCTCCTCTCCTTCTCCGTGTCCTCCCTTTGCCCTCGTGTTTTTCTTGCCCTTGTGCGTTATGTGTGTGTTTCCCTCTCCTTTCTTCTTGGATCCTCCTCCTCTCCGTCCGTCCACCTGTCGGCCCGGTCTGTCCTTCCCCGTCGTCCTCCTTCCCTCTCCTCCTCCCCTTCTCGCTCCTCGATTCCTCGCCCCCTTGCCCGTCTCTGCTTCCTGCCTGGCCCGCGTTTCGCTGTCGGCCCGTCCCGGTGTCCGTATCAGAGCCGCGGCGCCCCGCACCGCAACGCCGGCGAATAGCCCGGCGTGGACAGCAGCTCACGCCATGCTGTTGACAGTCGGACCCAGTCCAAGAGAACATCCCTCGGGAACATATGAGGCCCTCCGTCGGCCAAAGCACAAAGAGCATGCAAGGGTACCCTCCACAGGATGCACGAGAACATCCGCCTGACACGAAGAAACATCAGGGCACCCTCCCCGAGCCGACCTCGATCGCGCACCTCGGTCCGGCTGCGGACGCCATGACTCCAGATCCTGGAGCCCAGACCCCCGACGTCATGACCTGCCGATAACTTCGCTTCCCATCCCGAGCCGTTTCTGTTGCCGGTCCTGAGGGCCGGTGAGGGCCTCCAGAGGCCGGACACACGAGAGAGCCTCTCGTCGTGAGTTCTACCATGACTCGAGGGGGGGTCTGGGAGCCTCGAGGGCACGCTGAGCAGGGACCGACCGTCCCGGCATTCCTATAGCCCTACCACGAAATGGTTTTAGAACCCACAAATGTTCTAAGAACAAAAACACCGTTCTTAGAACATAAGCCCGATGTGACAAAACAAGACAGTCCCAACCAGAAATGTTCGAAGAACATCCCGTGGGAACCGCTAAAGGCTCTTAGAACATGGTTTGGTAGGGCTAAAGGCAAGCCAGGACGCTTCGCCGCTGCTTGAGTGAGGGCCTCCAGAGGCCGGAAACACGAGAAAGCCTCTCGTCGCGATTCCTGCCATGACTCGAGGCGGGGTCTGACTTCGCCCCCGAGCCGGCGCGGCGCAGGGAGGGCAAGAGGAGGAGGAGGAGGAGGAGGAGGAGGAGGAGGAGGAGGAGGAGGGAGAGGGAGAGGAGAGGAGGGAGAGGGAGAGGGAGGGAGGAGAGGTGCAGGGGAGGGGGCACAAGAAGAGGGGGAGAAAGAGAAGAGGAGGAGGGAGAAGGAGGGAGGAGCCTCGAGAGCACGGGGTCGGACTCCGCCCCCGAGCCGGCGCGACCGGCCGGAACGGCGTGCCGCCGCCCGCCGCGCGGGCGCTCCGGAGGCAGGCCGCCAGCTGCGCGGTGAGGTCGCGCGCGTGGGCCTGGGGGAGCGGCCCCGCGCGCGCGCCGAGGGGAAGGCGCTCACGCGCGCCGAGGGGGGGGGGGGCGCTCGGAGAGCTGCGCGTCCGGAGCGCCCGAGGCTCCAGGCCCAGGCCCTGGAGCTCCTCGTCCTCCTCCTCCTCCTCCTCCTCCTCCTCTTCCTCGCCCCTGGGGGTGACCTAGGATAGTTCCTTCCACACAGACACCCTCGGGCAACGAAAAGATCAGGACGCGAGGGCTTACCATGCTTTCGGCCCCTGGGGGCCCTTACTGGGCCTCGGGACCGTCAAGGAACGGCTCGGGATGAAAAGCCGGCTCCAGGGAATGGGTCACCGGGTCGGAACCTCGGGGGGTCGACGTGATGAAAAAATCATGACGTCAGGGGTCGAGGGGAGTTGGCTCCGACGATGCAGCAGGTTCTGGACGCCTGGAACCAAACAGAAACCGGGCTCGGCGCTTCAAGGGATGGGGACCTGAGGCATGGGGACCTGAGGATGGGACGGGGCCCAAGGGTGGACTTCCATTGCTTGAAGCACGTCGTCCTTTCCCGGCCGCGAACAAGGGGAGGAAATGAGAAGGAGAAAGCCTTCTCGGAAGGCGGCGGGGCTTCTCAGAAACCCTCGCGCCTCCTGGCCGTTTTTTTTGGTTTTCGGGGAAGGCTTAGCAAAGCTGCCCAGAAGGCCGGGGGAGTTCCGAACCTTCTGACAGTGCCTTTACCTTCTAGTTACCCCTTCGCTCCCTCGCTCGCCGCCGACTTCCAACCCCATCCCTCGGGACCCATCGTTGAGCCACCGACTTGCCATCTCTCGGGAGGGCTGGTCCCTCCCTCCTCCCGGCTTCCGCCGGCCCCCCGCCCGGCTCCGCAGGCGGGCCGCCGACTCCGTGCTGCGGCCGCCGCCGGCCGCCGGCCTCCCGCCGCCCTCCGCCGAGGAAGAAGTGGCAACTCCTTCGACCCTCGGACGCGGGGCCCTTTCTGGAACGCCGTGTGTGGTCAGCCAACCAGAAGAGAGGCCCGAACCCTTTGGGGAGGGGACCTGGGTTGGAGGGCCAACAACACCGGGGATGAAGGAGGGTCCTTTCTGCCGATGTGCCCGGCCAGACCGCCCGGGCTTAGCATCCTCCCTGAAATCCGTAATGCGAGAACGGGAATATCACTGAGGCCACGTTGTATTGCATTATCAGGGTTAGGGGGCCCTTGTTGTTCTTAATGCATATATATAAATATGTGTATAATGTATCATGTAAACATACATAGCTATATGTGTTTGTATATATATATATATATGTGTGTGTGTGTGTTCAATCCCGACGTTTTTCCTCGATCTCGGTCTCTGGGGGCCGCCCTCGGACCCCAGGGCCGTCAGAAACGGATCCGGGGCGAGGACCTGCCCCCCGCGAAGGGGCCAGGGCCTCGCTTGGGCCCGCGGGCCGGGGCAAACGCACCTCGTCGGACGTCGGGCTCCGACCCCTGCGTCCCCCGCTGGTGTTGAGTCGGGCGTATCCCCTACAGGGGGATTTTCGACGAACAATAAAAAAATACCCCCAAAAATAATCCTGAATGGTCAAACATAGTCCATGATTGTACTATTTTTGAAGTTTCCCCCTGTAGAGGGACAGGCCCGACTTAAGGCTGGCGTCGAGCTGCACGCAGAGTTCTCTACGTCGCGGCGCGGCAGACGGGCAGACCGCGCGCGCGCTCGGGCGGCTCGGGCCACGGAGAATTCGCCAAGTAGCTGGCGGCAGGAGGAGTGGAAGGCAGGCGAAAGCGGTCGCGGGGGAGGATCGGGTGATGGGCCTGTTTTCCACCACCACCGCCACCACCACAAGTTGGAAGGGGAGAGGGGTCCTCCTCCCCCTCCTCCTCCTCCTCCTCCTCCTCCTGCTCTTCTTCGTCCTCCTTCTCCTCGTCCTCCTCCTCCTTCCCCCCTCCAACTTATGGTGGTGGTGGTGGAAAGCACGCCCATCATCGGGGGCATCCGAGAGGGGGGCGTCCAAGAGGGGGGGGGGTGCAAATCATGGTCCACGGCATGTGCGCGGACCAGGGGGGGGGGCAGGGAACGCATTGAGATAAGAACAGGGGCGACGACATCGGGGGAAATATCATGGCCCTTGCCGTGGTATCCACCCCCCTACCTAGTCATCACCCCCCTCTTGGCCGCTCCCGAGAGGAGGGAGGGAGGGAAGGGCACTCACGTAGCGAGGTGCGACGCCGTGGAGCGGCCGGGGCGACACACCAGTGCTGCACCCCAGCTTCACTCAGGTCGGGCATGTCCTCCTACAGGCGGATTCTGGAAGGAAATGTAACATAGTCCACAAATCTGCAAAAGTACTCCATCGAATCGTCCCCACAGCCTTTTCTTGAACACTCCTCCTGTAGAGGGACACGCCCGACCCAAAGCTGCACGCGAACTCGGGGCCCTCTAGGTGGGCTGGGGCGGGCGTCGACCTCGTCGCCCGGTGGGCGGGCCACGCCTCTGCCCCGGGCCTCGAGGGGACGCGCCTGCCCCTGGCCTTCGGTCGGGCATGTCCTCCTGCAGGCGGATTTGGGGCAAAAAAGGAGAATCAAACAACAGATCGAACAATAGCCCAAAATGATACAAACAGAGTCGTCCCACGACTATGTGTCGACAATGTTTGAACATGCCTCCAATAGACGGACATGCCCGACGCAACCCTGGCCGAGGGCCGTCCGCGCGGCTGCCCGCACGGCTGCCCCGAGGTGCTCGCCCTCGCCACGCCCGCCGAACCGCCAGCTGGGCAGCCGCGGGCGGCTCCTCGACCGATGCCCCCGTCGCGGAGGCGGGCGGCCGTGCCGAGGCCGCGAGCCTCCGCGCTCGCCTGCAGCGCGGCGGGGAGGGTGCCGCCCGGGCGCTGCGCCTCCCCGCCCAGCGGCGCCTCGAACACCCTCCCCGGCCCTCCAGGCCACGCGGCGCACCCTTGTAACTTCGCCGCCGCCCGCACTGTCGCCGCAACCGGCGCGGGCCGAAGGAGGAGGAGCAGGAGGAGGAGGAGGAGGAGGAGGAGGAGGAGGAGGAGGAGGAGGAGATCCTCCCCCGCCGCCTCCTCCCCGTCCATGGGGGTCTCCCACATGGGTCCCAGCAGATGGGGTCGGGGGACCGCGCCGCCGCGGCATGGCCGATGCATCGCCGCCGCATCGGCGGTGCGTCGCCGAGGCGGCGCGATCCTCCGACCCCGTCTGCTGGGACCCCATGTGGGAGACCCGGAAGAGTTCCTCTTTTCTCTCCTCCTCGCTCGGGCACTCTCGGGGGCGGCCAAGAGGGGGGCGTCCAAGAGGGGGGGGTGCAAATCATGACCGGCGGCATGTGCGCGGCCCAGGGGGGGGGCCAGGGACGTAATGAAATAAGAAGAGGCGCCATGAAACCTGGGGAAATATCATGGCCCACGCCATGATATCCACCCCCCCTAGCCATCACCCCCTCTTTGCCGCCCCCGACACTCGGTCGGTCGAGTCTGGCGGGAGGCGGGGCCAGGCGCGCGTCCTCCAGAATCTGCGTGGACCTCTCCGCCTTGCGGGCGCGCGCCTCCGCGCCTGGGCTCGCGCGCGCGGCCGCGGCGGGCTGCTGTCGTGCGCGGGCGGCGTCGTCGCCGTCGCCGTCGTCAGCGGCCGTCGGCTGTCGGTGTCGCCGTCCGCCGTTGTCGTCGCCATCAGCCGCCGTCGTCGTCGACGTGCCTGTCGCTCTCCTCTATCCACGGGTCCTGCGACCCAGGGTTCCTTTCTGGGCCCAGCCTGTTCGGCGTCTGAGTCCGTCCGGCCGCCGAGCGAGCAGCCGAGCGGGCTCGATGCCCAGAGCGCCCTGGAAATCCGGCCCGACATCCCCGCGTCGTGAAAGAAGATCGCCGGGAGGGGTTGGCTCATTTCTGCCCTCCCGGGGGCCCTCCGTCGGGCCCCCGGAGGCACGGCTCTGGCAGAACAGCTGGTCCCCAAAGCACGCACGGCCTCCTCCTCCTCCTCCTCCTCCTCCTTCTCCTCCTCGCGCCAGCGGCTGGGTTGTTGGTTGCTGGTTGCTGGGGGGGGCGGGTGGCACAGTGCAGTGTCAATCATCAACAACAACAACAACAACAACAACAACAACAACAACAACAACAACAACACCAACAACAACAACAACAACAACAATCACTTTACCCGAACGCTCAGTGTTCTCACCAGTGCCAGGGTTTTCATGCGACGCCAGCCAATACCCCCACTTTGTGGGGGGGCAGTGCAAGCTCTACCAAATATCCACACGACTCTTCGCCACCACCCACACCCAGCTTCCCGCCCTATGACGTTCGGACACTTCACTTCGTGGCCTGCGGACGACCGTGGCTACTACACTGGCGTGGAGTACACACCCACAGAAGTTGTTAAGCCTACGTTCGTACACCCACAGAAGTTGTTAAGCCTTGTTAACCCACAGAAGTTGTTAAGCCTTCCACAGAACATCTGTTGGGGGCTTATTGGGTCCTCACGGCGGGCTCTTGGGGCCTCTTGAAGGCCTCCTGGGGCAACCTATGGCGCAACCAGTAGGGGGACGTTTTATTCTCGGCGGCCGAGGGCGCAACCTATGGCGCAACCAATAGGGGGACGTTTTATTCTCGGCGGCCGAGGGCGCAACCTATGGCGCAACCGCAAGGGATTGTGGCCCCTGGCAGGCGCGCGAACCCCGTTGCAAGAGCGTGCGAAAGTAGCTCGCGCGAGCTCATGTAACATAAATGTTGGAAAACCATTGGTTTTTTTAGGATTCGGACAGCGCGCGCGGGTAGAAATTTTGAAAAGTCGTGCAGGTGTTTTTCGAGGACCTACGGTGCGATTCGTGTGATTTTATGATGCGCGGTGCTAAAATTCTTAAGAAGCCCAATGGTTTTTGGAGATTTCGGCGTGCGCGCGCGAAGAAAAAACGAATGTGTCCCGCATGGTATTATTTGACAGGGATGATGGCCCTGGCAGGTGCGCAACCGTTGTCGCAGAAGTTCGAAAAAGTTGCTCGCAAAAGCCCGTTTGACAGAAATGTTTAAAAAAGTGTTGGTTTTCCTACGAATCCGCAAGAGCGCGCGGGATGAGATTTTGACATTTTTTTGTTGAAAAACCATTGGTTTTTTGATGTTTTTATGTTAAAATCGCTCCGAACACTAAGCTTTTGGAAGGATTTCGTCTTGCGCGCGCGAATGTCCACTTTACCTTATTTTTTGCAAGGGATTCTTGAAATTTGATTATATTAGAACAAGAAATGTCATTTTATAGTGTTTTTTGCAAGGGAAAGCGGATTACAACAAAACAACCGGATCTGTATCACATCGTTTTACTGAGGCTTCCTCACGAAAATGATGAAAATGTAGCTGCGGCCTAGGCGGCGCAGGGGGGGCGCGCACCAGGGGGCCCAACAATAATTATTCTTTAGAATAAATAATGTTCAACAACAACAACAACAACAACAACAACAACAACAACAACAACAACAACAACAACAACAACAACAACAACAACAACAACAACAACAACAACAACAACAACAACAATTTAGACTGGGGACACTCCGTTCTCACCAGTGCCAGGGTTTTCATAGGAGGCGGGCAATACCCCCACTTTGTGGGGGGGCCGGTTCAAGCTCTACCAAATTTCCAAACGACTCTTCGCCACCACCCACACCCAACTTCCCGCCCTATGACGTTCGGACACTTCACTTCGTGGCCTGCGGACGACCGTGGCTACTACACTGGCGTGGAGTACACACCCACAGAAGTTGTTAAGCCTACGTTCGTACACCCACAGAAGTTGTGAAGCCTTGTTAACCCACAGAAGTTGTTAAGCCTTCCACAGAAGTTGTTGCGATTCGTGTGATTTTATGATGCGCGGTGCTAAAATTCTTAAGAACCCAATGGTTTTTGGAGATTTCGGCGTGCGCGCGCAAAAAACGAATGTGTCCCGCATGGTATTATTTGACAGGGATGATGGCCCTGGCAGGTGCGCAACCGTTGTCGCAGAAGTTCGAAAAAGTTGCTCGCAAAAGCCCGTTTGACAGAAATGTTTAAAAAGTGTTGGTTTTCCTACGAATCCGCAAGAGCGCGCGGGATGAGATTTTGACATTTTTTTGTTGAAAAACCATTGGTTTTTTGATGTTTTTATGTTAAAATCGCTCCGAACACTAAGCTTTTGGAAGGATTTCGTCTTGCGCGCGCGAATGTCCACTTTACCTTTTTTTTGCAAGGGATTCTTGAAATTTGATTATATTAGAACAAGAAATGTCATTTTATAGTGTTTTTTGCAAGGGAAAACGGATTACAACAAAACAACCGGATCTTGATCAACATCGAATTACCTGAGGCTTCCTCACGAAAATGATGAAAATGTAGCTGCGGCCTAGGCGGCGCAGGGGGGCCGTGCACCAGGGGCCCCAACAATAATTATTCTTTAGAGTTATAATGTTAACATCAACCCACAACAACAACCACAACAACAACAGCGCAGCAACAACAACAACACAAACAATATAAAAAACAAACAAGCAACACCAACAACAGCAGCAACAACAACAACAGCAGCAACAATCATTTTAAGACCGCTCGCCCTTATATGCTCGAGTGTCCAATAACGCGTATTTCCCAAACCCTCGATACCCGCCCTCTTCGTCTTCGATCGAACCCCTTTTGGGGGGTATACCTTTCTTCCCTGCAGGCCGGGCCCCGGCAAGCGGCGGGGCGGCCGCGGACCGTCGGCCTGGCCAGCGGCAGCGCTGATCGGCGGGGCGGCCGCGGACCGTCGACCCGACCCCAAGAGGGACGGACAGGGGACCGACCACGACGACGACGACGACGACGACGACGACGACGAACGACGTCGACTCCCGAAGGACACGGCCGACGACGACGACGGCGGACGACAGCAGCCACGAAGGGCAAGTAAGTAGGCCACGACGACGACGACGAAAGCGAGAGCGAGAGAGAACGACAGCAGGGCCACGAAGGGCACGAAGTAGGCCACGAAGGGCGACAGCGGGGACACGAAGGGAATGCGTATGGGGCCACGAAGAGCGCGAACGAGCGGGGGCCACGAAGTGCAGATAATGCGGGGCCACAGAAGGCAACTATGGGGCCACTGAGGGTGGCAAGTGGGCCACGTAGGACAGTGAGGGAAACACAAATGGCGACAGCGGGGCCACGAAGGGCATGAACATGGGGCCACAACGGGCGCGACTCCTGGGTGCCTGGGTGTCGGGAGCGCGGCGCGTGGGCAAATTGCAGGAAATGCCAACGCAAGGCCATTCTTCAGTAAGTTGCAAGCAAGTCTCCAGCGAGAGCGCGACTCCAGAGCACCGTGAGAGCGATTCTTTAATAAATTGTAAGGAAGTCCCAAGCGAGAGCGCGATTCCTGAATGAGATGCGAGGAATTCTCGAACGGGAGCGGGGGTCTGGCTAAATTGCAAGGAAGTCTCAGGCGGGAGCCGTTGTTGTCGTAACCGGGGGGGCCAGGGGGCCAGTTTGAGCAGGAAGACTTTCCCTGTCAAAAAATAGGGTGCGAGCGTCGAGGGGTACACTTTGATTTAGAAAAAACAGTATGCACCGGTGGGGGGGATCAACAATAATTATTCTTCAGAAATGAGAAATCATCAACAACAACAACAACAACAACAGCAGCAGCATCAGCAACAACAGCAACAACAACAGCAACAACAGCAACAACAACAGCAACAGCACCACCACCACCACCAACCACACCAACAACAACAACAACAGCAGCAGCAACAACAACAGCAACAACAACAGCAGCAACAGCAACAACAACAGCAACAACAGCAACAACAGCAACAACAACAGGAACAGCAACAGCAACAGCAACAGCAACAGCAACAACGCAACAAGCAGAATTCTGACAACGAATTCCATATTCAGCCATGCACCCAGGGCCAATGAATGACCGTTCGGCCCTCTCACTCTAATGAGCGCGGCGCCGGGGCGAGAGCGACATTTCGGCCTGTCGCGCGGAGTGCGCGCCCCGTCCCACTCCTGCCACGCATTTTGCAACATGGACGGACGTTGAATCGACAATCGTCGACTTCGCACTGTGTTTTTTTCGAATCGGATGGAAGGGCCCTGATCTGGTTGCTATCGGCCAGCAGGTTGGCAGAGTTGGAGCAGAGGAAAAGGAGGAGGGGTAGAAGGAGAGAGGAGGAAGGGGAGGGAGGAGGGAGGAGGGGGGAGGAGGGAGGGAGGGAGGGAGAGATGGACGGAGGGAGGAAGACAGGAGAGGGAGGAAGAGGGAGGAGGGAGGAGGGCGGAGGAGGGAGGAAGGAGGGCGGAGAAGGGAGCAAGGAGGAGAGGAAAGAGGAGCGAGGGAGGAGGAGGAGCAGCAGCAGCAGAAGGAGGCAGGAGGATCGAGGAGGGCGGAGGGAGGAGGAGGGAAGAGGGCGGAGAAGAGGGAGGAGGGATATGGGGGGGAGAAGGAGCAGGGGCCAGCGCAAACCCAAGACGCATCGACGATGTTGCAGTCGACCCTCCCTCCAAGTTCCCTCGTCATAGGTCCCCACAAGAACCCTACCAGCCGTTTGTGGT